AATGGTAAGGGCAGTTGCAACCCCTACCGACGGCTGCCTTTTGGCCCCTGGGCAGCAAATCGGGCTTCTCTATACTTCGGACAATATTTAATAATATGGGCAGGGTCACCGCAATAGATGCACTGCCCTTGCTCCATTCGTTGTTGCCACACTCTGTGGTCCAAGCCTAGATCTTCCCAAGGCCGGCCCTCTGGCCAACTTGGGTGCCAACCTCCTCTCCGTTGAGGTGATCCTCCACCTCTACGCTATGGCGATCGACTAGGCCCCGAACGATTCGGCAGGGGACCTTGACCCCTACCTCCCTCTTTTCAGTTCCTTTGGCCGCCACCCCACTGTGCGCCCAAACCTCGACCACCCATGGCTCGGCCTCCTTGGCCCTGGCCTGCTCCTCTACTTTGAGGCCTCCCTCCAGCTGTGACAGCAGCGTAGGTCCTCCCTTGACCCACACTACTGTCTTCCTCCTCAAGCCCCCACTCGATTTGGCTGTAGGGGACTTCATCGGTACCACCCTCGTCTAAAGTAAGGATCAGGTGATCCTTTACCCTGACCTGACCAGAGATGATACGACCCTTACACTTTTTCCCCTTATCTAAATCCTTATGCCAGAAAGTGGACACTGGCATGGATTTGGCCTCAAACAGGACAACCTCTCCACTTAATGCGTCGTACGTGATGGTGGCATGTTGGGTCTTCTCAAAGAAATGCCCTCGTAAGGGCGCTGGCATGGCATGATATAGTAAATTAACTAACTGGGTTTTTGTGACCCCGTGGTCTGGGATGGCTACTAGATCATTAATAACTGCTTTGAGTGCCCTTGCACTCTTCCAGTTGCGAGTGGATCATTTGCAATTTATCAGAGGCCCTGACGCCGCGTGTGACGTTTGTGAATCTCTCTGTAAGGAGTTGAAGGAATTTGTGAAGAGGGGTGAGTTTAGAATACGCAACCATATTGTTTTCACAATCGGCTGCTCGCGCGAGGGACCTGGCAAAACTAGCCGCTTCGTCCTTTAAGGCATGGAAGGCTACTAGGACTTGTTCCTTGGGCACAATGTGCTGGAGATACACGTAGGTATTAATACTGGCCTCCCAATTGTCAAAGTTCTCGTCCTTCCTCCCTCCATAAGAATCAGGAAACTTAAGCTTAAGGAATTTGTGAAGAGGGGTGAGTTTAGAATACGCAACCATATTGTTTTCACAATCGGCTGCTCACGCGAGGGACTTGGCAAAACTAGCCGCTTCGTCCTTTAAAGCATGGAAGGCTACTAGGACTTGTTCCTTGGGCACAATGTGCTGGAGATACATGTAGGTATTAATACTGGCCTCCCAATTGTCAAAGTTCTCGTCCTTCTTCCCGCCATAAGAATCAGGAAACTTAAGCTTAACGGGCTCTTTGCGGGGACGTACTTCAACCCCTGCAGCGACCGTTACTTTGGCGCCTTCGGTGGCGCCTGCGCAGAATTTCTCTGCGCCCTCCTTTAACTTTCTAACCTCGGTCCCTACGTGTGTCATCACATCTCGCGCGAATTCTTTGAAACCGGACCGGATGGAGTGGCGGGCCATGTCTTGGCCCCTGACAGACTGATGGTGCTCAGTCCAGGCCCTACCTAAGAGCTCGATGCTCCCAATGATCTTGTCCAACTTGGCCTGAATATCAGGCTAGGCCTCTACTTCCTGTATCAAGTCTGTAAACTTTCCACTTCTCTAGCCACCCGGATGGCCTCCTCCATCTTCCTCTTCTTCTCCCTCACCAGGTGCAACTTCCAGTCCAACTTCTCGTTTTTTTATTGCCCGGCGCTCTAGGGGATCACTCGTCGCTTCGATCTCCCTAATAGCTGTTTCCTTCTGCTCATGAGGTATATATAGCATCGCCTCCTCATCTTCCTTTGGGCCACTGCCCTCTCCTCTTTCCCCCATGCTTCCTCTTATTAGGGGCTCGTCTTCCTGCTGCTCCTCCTCTTCAATCTCTTCCTCTACTGCAGCCTTCATTCTCTCTTCCTCCTCTTGCTGCAATCTCTTCATCTCCTCCAACTTCTTTTTCTTCGCCGCCTGCTCCTCTGCTATCATCTTCACCTTCACCTGTCTAATGAGCTCCTTCTTCTCCTCTCTCTCCCTTAGGATGGCAGTGGTTTGCTCCTCTTGAGCCTTGCTATAGGGGATGGTGCTCTTCCCACTGCAAAGGTCAACCATGGTGATAGGTGCACAAGCGGACAACAGTTCCCAACCTCACCACTTACACCTCGGCACCTGACTGACTGGACCTAGGACTCAATCTAAGGACCATAGAATTCAGGTAGGATCCTGTCAACTAGGGTCTCTAGCCTAAACCTACTCTAAGGCTGTCACTACAGGACTTGTTGCTGGTCAAGAGGCATTTAGGGAGATCCCCCGTGACTCCTCAGGAATTATTTAACGTCGCAGACATGACGACGCGATCAGCAAGTCCTCTCAAGACTTAGACAGCCCGTTGTGCAGCCCACAACTCGGATTTTGGGCTTACCGCGCCACAACGAGCAGCCTGCCGGTCAGTACTTGTCCTTGGGAGGGTTCGTGTCCTCCGGGACAGTCGAGTCGTCAGACACAGCCTTTAGCCCTACTCAGCCCGTGTGGGTTTGGTCAACGAGGATCTATCCTTCATACACGGAGTTCCTATCACCTGGACATAAGAGACTCAATGCAGAAAGAAGAGACAGACAGACTCAGCACGTACCATAGGGTGAGTGCACATCCAGGGGGTGAGGGGATAGGCTGAGGGTTTGGCGAGAATATACCAACTCCAGCTTGGTCGGAATCGTGGTCAGCAGCCCTTGTCAACATCTTGGTCAACGCTTGGTCAACGCTGGTCAACGCTGTTCAAACCCCCGGTCAACGCTCCAGTCAACCTAGGTTAATGCCTTGGTCAACTGCCGAGTCAACGCTCAACCTCTTGGTCAACACCTTGGTCAACCTTCAATGCGGCTATGGCTGCCGACACTTTCTCTCCCTCACACCCTCGCTTCTCTTTCCCCTTCCTTTCTTCTTCCTTGCTTCTTTCTCTCTTCACCCTGGCTATATCTTTCCTTCCTCTTCGTCGTCCCTCCTTCCTCTTCCTCAACTATGGCTTCTTCTAACTTCTTGGTCTCTCCCTCCTCCTCTCTCATTTGTCTCCCTCACTCCTTTACTCGTCTTCCTTCTTCTCCTCCGTGTCCGAGCTCCGCGGCTATGGCCGCCTTCTTCCTCCTTGGACTGCACAACCAATCTTCTATCGCTCCTCTCTCTCTCTCTCTCTCTCTCTCTCTCTCTCTCTCTCTCTC